TTTCAAATATATCCCCTTCTTGGTTATGCCAATTAGAATAATAATGTATATCCTCTTCTTTGTGATACAAATTAGAATAATTTAGGTAATTCACTTATAATATATTTATAATACACGAACCACACATATTTAATACATATAACAAATCCTACCTATTTCTTAATAATATAAATAAAAAAAATTGTACGACACGTATAATACATATTATATATGTTGACGAACATATGTTTAATCTAGTTTGTAGATCGTTGTCTTGTTTTTTCTTAGTTATGGTTCTAATCCATTCTTGATCCTCTATTCTAATTCAACTTGAATATTGTTTAATTCAATTTTAATACAAATTTAATTCATCTTTCAATTTTTTGATTTTTTTGTTTCTATTTGATACTAGTTTAATTCATCATTAAAATAAGTTTAATTCACTCTATAAATCAAGGTCTGGTCTTTCGTTAGTTAATTTTTTTATTCATGTTTAATTATTTCTTCTAATTTAACTTTAATATATGTGTAATAAGCTTTCAAATATAAGTTTAATTCAATTTCACAATTTATTGGTTTATTTATTACGATTGTATCACTTGTTAATTCATTAGTCATATCAGTATAATACAATTTACAAATCGAAGAACACTTTTTTCATTAGCTACATTTTGCATTCATGTTCAATTAGCTTCTAATTCAACTTTAACATGTATGTAGTACATTTTTAATTCAAGTTTATTTCATTTGGCAGTTTATTATATGTCTCAGTTGTTCAGACTATATATCATGTCTAATTAATTATTGATACATATTTATTCAATTTAAATCCTCAATAATTCAATGAAAAAAGTAGAGAGAAAAAGAGACAAAAAGAGCAACAGAAATAGAGGGACAAAGAGCAATAAAAAAGAAAGCAGTGAAAAAATGAGAAAAAGAAAGTATGCAAGAAATAAAGGGAGAAAGAGCAAGAAATTAACAAAAAGCGAGAGACAAAGAAAGAGTGACAAATTTAAAAGCCGACAGCGAAAAACAAATCAAATAAAATATATAGCGTTATTATATACTGCTATAAATGGTAATAATTAAATTGTATATTTAAAATAAGTAATTATTTTGAAAAGTGATCCACTCAAGTATTAATCCTTTATTTTCAGTCGTTAAAAATCATTTTATTACGAAATTAACAGAACATTAATATTGAGTGTTAAAACTATGTTATCCAATCACTAAAACTAATTTATTTGATTAGTAGAAAATAACCCACTTCTCAAACCCCCCCCCCCCCCAATCCCACACCTTATTGCCAACACCCTCTCCACCAAAACACACTATCCCCTCTTCCCAAAAAGAACACTTAACCTTCTCCATCTTTTGAACCCAAAATAACTTGAGAAAATTAAATGAAAGATGACAAATAAGTCTTCATATTGTTTTTTTTGACAGATTGACCAAGAGCTGGTCAAATCCTCTTTAAAATGTAATCAAGTATATTTTGGACCAATTAACATTTCAAAAACATTATTGATCTTTTATAAAATACAAAAAAACACTTTACTTTCAAACTTCTCTATTTAAATCTAAATTATTTTTTTAAAAAAAATATTTTCATCTTCTCCAAGTGTTCTCTCTCTCTCTCTCTCTCTTTTGTACTTCTTTTTCCTTTTTCAATCTGAAAATCCGACTAGAGTATCTCCATTCTCTTCCTCTTCCTCTCCAACTATCTCCATTATTTTCCTTCTTATCTCTAGTCGTGTGTCTCTCTTCTTTCTGAACTGAAATCGCGATCGACTTAAAATAGGTAAGCTATTTTCGAATTTCTTTTTTTGGATTAACAAACAATAAAATGTATATGTATTTTCCTATTATTTTTTGTTTATTAAAAAAAATCAACCAACCGAAAAAAAATTTAATTTTGAGAAAATGTATATGTATTGTTGTTAACAGTCACTGAAAAGTCATTTTTGTTTCTTTTGTTGTTCTTTTGTAGCTATTTTATTGATATGATTTTAGAAATATAGTCTTTTTCAGTTCTCCAACATATATTTCATTTGTTGGAAGAAGTATCATATGTTGCAACATTTTAGTGATATGTTGGTGCATACACCAACATTCATCATTTGTTATAACATCCCCCTTATGCATTAGGGCAACGAAATGTTTACATGTGGCAACATAAGATTCATCTGTGGCAACATAGCATTTATCTGTAGCAACTTAGAATTCATTTGTTGCAAAAATAGGTATATCTGTGTAACACCTCGTATCTAGAACAGACCAGAAATCAAGTGTTTAGAAATCTTCAACTGCAATCAACGGTTAACATCGACGGATCGTAGCCTGACCCACGGTTCGTACTGATCGTTTGTGCCTGAAAATCACCCAAAATGCAGCCTAGAAAATTTTACTTAGTGTAGAACTTCGTACGGACCTACGTGCGTAGGTCAGACTACAGTCCATAGTTTATGCCCGTTGATCAAGACCCTATTTACCAAGCCTCTCACAAGAACCACGATTGACCAGTACGGTCAGTAGATGGACCTACGGACCACAGGTATGACCGTAGGCGAAATTAGAAGATATTTCGGGGGGAATACAGTTGGGTCAATTTAAGTTGATCATAAATTTTAGAAAAAATGAATTAGGTTTCCCATGACCAGTGAAGTGATAGATAATTGAATTAGCTTTCCATATCTACCAAGTTTTTTTTAAAATTATACCTCTAAATAAAAAGTTATTCCCGTTCTAGTTAAGTTCTGTTGAACAGACCCAACCGACAGACCCAAACGATGGACAGCCGATTGAACGACGACCCGTCATTCAATGTCATCGTTTGGTCCGATATCAATTAAAGATACATCATTTTTTACTCTAAATCATGAGACTTTAGTCAATTAAAGCCTAAAAACATAACTAAAACTTACCTGAGTCAAATCATTAAATCAAAACTTAGAGAATTACAAGCAAGAAAGGAGAAAAAAAGTCAAGAACCCTAGTTCAAGAACTCAAAAAGGTTGCATTATTTCCAGCCCCGAAATCTAAATATTTCTCCATGGACTTTATCACCTGGCCTATGAGATTTCATAGTTAATTCCTTTCACCCATAAGGTCCCTAGTTTTCAGTAAGATTATTAATTCCGATATCATGATTAGACCTAGGGTTTATAGAACTGCAACAGAACTTCATGAATAAATTAGTATATGTTCCAAATCAAAGTTCCATGCTATTATTCAATTTATCTCATCAATTTCAAAAGTACGTATTTCTTTAGTTTTTGAATTACACATGCTAGGCAAGATTTTTTATCTACTCCATATATACATGCCTTAGTTATAAATGCATAGTTACCATAATAATTATTGCATTCTCAGTTTGCATGTGCAATTTTGAGCTATCCATTATTTATAGAAATTCAGTCATAATCAGTTAATTACATAATTCATTTGGAGTAGAATAATACCGAGTTGGACTAGGGTTCAACATACCTAATTAGTTTCGGAATTACTAGCCAAGTAGGTTGTAAGTCCCCTATGTGAGTAATCAGTTTAGTGATCATGCCAGCATGCCTTTATACATGAGGCAGGGTATATTGGGTCCTCTCTTGGGGCGTATACATTGGATTTCACATTTATCTCATGTGGTTTTATTATCGCTTATTAGTAGCTCTCACATATAATTCAGACTCTAATGCATAGACCATATTTGGAGTTCAATTATTACTCAGTCTCAGCATGTCATGAGTTTGGTCATTGTATTAAGTTAGCTCAGCATTCCGTATATCATATTCAGATTATCATACTTGATTTTGTGCTTGTTCAGTTATGTTTATTTCAACTTTACTCTATCCTACATGCTCAGTACCTTCAAGTACTGACACACACGTGCACTACATCTTCTCATGATGTAGGTTCAGGTTCTCAATATCCAAATCATGCTTAGATTGATTTTAAATTTCCAGCTCAGCAGATTCAGTGGTGAGTCCTCATTCTCCAAGCACAATAGTCATGAGTTTTTTTAGTATTTAGTCCTTTAGTTTCAGTTTTTGCTAGATTTAGTTGGGGCCTGTTCTAGCATTTCTAGTCAGTTTAGAGGCTATTTTCAGATATAGTTAGTTTTAGCTTAGTGTTGAGTTAATAGTTTCCTTGTATTAAAATCATTAATATTTCATTTATCTCAGTTATAGAATACAGGTATTATTCATCTTTCCAGTTTAAATTATGAGCTATCTTCCGCATTCAGTTTATTATTTGTAGTATTTTCATGGTCATGCCAACAGGGTTACATTGGGATCACTTGTGGTCCTAAATTCTATTTCCGCGTATCGGGGGTAGCTCGGGCGTGTCAAAACTTGGTAACATATCTTTAGGATGTCTGAAAAGTCGCACTACGTAGAGTTTTTTTCATGGCTATGAAGTGCACCACATCTAATGAGAGGGAGGCTACAAAGTGTTTTAGGAAAACTTCACTTTCTTGTTACTCTTATTGTGCGTAAGGTATGATCTTATACCACTCTAACTTGACGTTCTACGTTTCATATCATGCCTCCTCGTAGGGCTAACGATATGGATTCAAAGGCTAGGAATGCGAACGTCCTCCTCCAGTCCCAGATCAGAAAGTCTCCAATGCATAGTTCAAGAATGCCATACAGATGTTGTCTCATAGTATGACCAACCAAAACAATTAGGTTCATGCTCCGGTGAATGCAATCCATGACTTTGTTAGGATGAATCCGCCTGAGCTTCTAGGATAACAAACTAGTGAGGAACCTTAGAATTTGTTGGATGATATTAAGAAGATCTTTGAGGTAGTGCAAGTCACTAGAAATGATCGGGTTGAGGTTGCATCATAACATGTAAAGGATGTTGTTCATATCTGGTACACTCAAAGGAAGGAAAATAGCGGTATAGATGCAACTTCTATAACTTGGGATTGATTTACTGAGGCCTTTCTGGACAAGTTTTTCCCAATAGAGTTGAGAGAAGCATAGTCTGAGGAATTCATGAACTTAAGGCAGGGAAACATGACGATCCAAGAATATGGTCTCAAGTTTAAACAACTCGACAGGTATGCTCCTCACATGGTTGTTGACTCCAAGGCTCAGATGAATAAGTTCTTGTATGGAGTGTCTAATTTGGTGAAAAGTGAGTGCAAAAATGCTATGTCACTAGGAGATATGAACATCTCTACGCTTATGACTCATACTTAGAAGGTTGAGGGTGATAAGCATAGGGAACATTCCGAGGAGAATAAGAAGGCTAGGACTACCAACTATGACTATTCTCAACAGAAATCGGGTGGTGGAAATCGCTCGCAGGGTCAACACATGTTTTTAGCTCCAACCCTTCCTCAGCTAGTGTTCCATCCTCCAAGAATAGGTATGCCTAAAAATTTAGACCACCAGGCTTTAAGTCCAGGGGATTGTTTTAGGCACCAAGACTTAACCCACTTGTCCCAAGTGTAGTAATAACCATCTGGGCGAGTGCCTCGCAGGAAAGGAAGGATGTTTTAGGTGCAGTCAATCTGGTCTCAGGTTGAGGATTTTCTTTCTAGACAGGGTCAAGGAGGTGGAAATTGTAGAACTCAGTCAACAGCTTCATCAGCACCAGCAAGTCACCCGATTCAGCAGGGTAACTCATGTGGTACAGGTGGGTGTCAGCGTCAGAACATATTGTATTCTCTTCAGGTTCGCCAAGATCAGGAAGGTTCTCCTAATGTAGTTATTGGTACGTTGCGAGCCTTTGACCTTGATGTTTATGCATTGTTAGATCCAGGGGATACTTTTTCCTTTGTAACTCCTTAAATAGAAGTCCAGTTCATTGTCAGTCCAGAAACTCCCTCAGAACTTTTCTCAGTCGCTACACCAGTGAGTGACCCAGTAATAACTAGAAAGGTACACAAAAATTACCATGTCACAATCTCTCAGAAAGTCACCTCTGCAGATCCAGTAGAGTTAGAAATGGTAGACTTTGATGTAATTCTAGATTATGGATTGGTTACATTCATTTTATGCCTCTGTTTATTGTAGAACTACGATTGTTCATTTTTAGTTTCCAAATGAACCAATTTTAGAGTAGAAGGGTAGTAGTTTAACACATAATGGTTGATTCATTTCTTAACTTAAGGCCAAAAGATGATCTCTAAGGGTTATCTCTATCATCTAGTTCAGGTTAAGGATTCTTACTCTGAAAACTCAACTCTTCAGTCAGTTCTAGTAGTCTTTGAGTTTCCAGAAGTATTTCCATAATATCTTCCATGAGTCCCTCCTAAAAGGAAAATCGATTTGGAATAGATCTCCTTCCATATACCCAACCTATTTTATTTCTCCTTATAGAATAGTTCCAACAAAGATTAAGGAATTGAAAGGGTAGTTGGAAGACCTTCTAGATAAAGGCTTCATCATACCTAGTAATTTACCATAGGGTTCACCAGTGTTTTTTGTTAAAAAGAAAGATGGTTCTCTCAGAATGTACATTGACTATAAACAGTTGAACAAGGTCACAACAAAGAGTAAGCGTCCCATCCCCATAATTTATTACTTGTTTTACCAACTTCAAGGCGCTAGCCATTTCTCAAAGATAGACCTCATTTCGGGTTATCATCTACTTAGAGTTAGAGATAGTGAAATTCCAAAGACAACCTTCAGGACTCGGTATGATCATTATGAATTTGTAGTTATGTCGTTTGGACTAACCAATGCTCCTGCAACTTTCATGAATTTAATGAACAGAGTGTTCAAGTAGTACTTGGACTTGTTCATTATTGTCTTTATTGATGATATCCTCATTTACTCTAGGAATGAGGAAGGACATGCGAGTTTTTTGAGAATTGTTATACAGACTCTCAAGGATCAGGAGTTATTCTCTAAGTTTAGCAAATGTGAGTTCTAGTAGCAATATGTTTCTTTCCTTGGTGACATTATACCTAGCAAAAGGATCCGAGTGGATTCACTGAAGATAGAAGCAGTGAAACAATGAACCAGACCTACCTCTTCTACAGATTTCAGAAGTTTCTTAGGTCTAGCGGGTTATTATAGAAGGTTCATCAAAATATTCTCATCCATAGCCTCACCATTGAATAGGTTAACTTAGAAAATGGTCAAGTTTCAATGATAAGATGATTGTGAGAAAAACATTGCAGAATTAAAAATTAGATTGACTACAACTCATGTCTTGACTCTACCAGAGGGTTCAAATGGTTATGTAATCTAATGTGATGCATCCAGAGTTGGCCTAGGTTGTGTGTTCATGGAGAGAGATAAGTTACATTCCTATGCCTCTAGACAACTTAAGGTTCACGAGAAGAACTATCCAACCGATGACCTCGATCTTGCAGCAGTGGTGTTTGCACTCAATATATGGAAACACTACTTGTATGGTGTTCATCTAGATGTGTTCACTGATCATATGATCCTTCGATATGTGTTCACCCAAAAGAGTTCAGTCTTTTACAGAGGAGATGTCTTGAGTTCCTTAACTATAATGATATGTGTGTGCATTATCATCCTGGTAAAGCAAATGTAATAGCATAGTCTCTTATTAGATTGTCTATGGGTAGTGTAGCCCATGTTGAGGAGGAAAGGAGGAGCTAGTGAAGGATGTTCACATGCTTATTCCCTTAGGATTTCACTCATATCAGACAATGGTGTAACATTTCAGAATGGGGCAAAATCTTCTATGGTAGTGGAGGTTAAGTAAATGCAAGACAGTGACCCATTCTTGCTTGAACTTAAGGGTGCAGTCCACAATCAGAGAGTGAAGGTTTTCTCCTAAGGGGGAGATGGTGTACTTCTCTACCAAGGTAGATTATGTGTTTCTTATGTAGGTGAGTTGAGAAAGCATATCCCGCAAAAGCCCATAACTTCAGATATTTTATTCATCCAGGTGCCACTAAGATGTACAACTATCTGCGTAAAGTCTATTAATGGAATGTCATGAAGAGGGATATAGCAGATTTTGTGAGTAAGTGCCCCAATTCATAGAAAGTCAAGGTAGTATGACTTAAGAGATCGATATTCCTAATTGGAAGTGGTATGTGATCAATATGGATTTCATCCTAGGGTTACCTCGTACTAGCAGACAACATGACTCCATTTGGGTGATAGTTTATAGGATGATTAAGTTTTCTCACTTTTTAGCTATTAAGACTACAAATTATGCAGAGGTCAATGCCAAGCTTTACATTAATGAAATCTTGAGGTTACATGGGGTTCCTTTGTCTATCATCTCAGATAGAGTTTTAAGTTTACCTATCATTTCTGGAAGTCATTTCAGAGGGGTCTTGGTACTCAAGTTAACCTTAGCACAACATTTCATCCACAGACGGATGGACTGGCAGAGCGTACCATTTTGACCCTAGAGGATATGTTGAGAGCTTGTATGATTGATTTCAAGGGTAGTTGGGATTATACCTTCCTTCAATTGAGTTTGCCTACAATAATAGTTACCATTCTAGCATTCACCTGGCCCCTTATGAGACTTTGTATGGGCGTAGATACAAATCTCTTGTTGGTTGGTTTGAAGTAGGTTTAGCAGCATTAATAGAACCAGATTCAGTCCTTTATGCTATTGCAAAAGTGCAACACATTAGAGAGAGTAATAAGATAACCCAAAGTCGTCAGAAATCTTATGCATAAGTAAGGAGAATGGAACTAGTGTTCGAAGATGGTGATAGAGTTTTCTTGAAAGTGTCACGTATGAAAAGAGTGATGAGATTTCGCAAAAAAGGGAAGCTTAGTCCTAGGTATACAAGATCTTGAAAAGGGGTGGCAAGGTGGCATCTGAGTTAGAGTTGCCAGCAAGATCAGCAGCAGTGCATCCAGTCTTCTACATCTCACTCTTGAAGAAGTGTGTGGGTGATCCAACCTCTGTAGTGTAATTAAAGAGTGTGGCGATAAAAGATAGTCTTTATTATGAGGTTGTACTAGTTGAGATTCTTGACTGTCAAGTTAGAAGGTTGAGAAATAATGAAGTAACTTCATTCAAGATTTATTGGAGGAGTCAGTCTGTGAGGGAGCTACATGGGAAGCACAAGAAGCCATGAAAGCCAAGTATCCTCACCTCTTTTCTTCTGATTCCACTCCAGCTTGAGGTAGTAGTTCCTCTTCGGTTTTTCAGTCATTCATGTATTAATTCAGCCTTAGAATCATGTTTCCTAAGTTGTACTTTCAATTTCAGTGTATTTGCATGTTCTCAAAACTCAATACAGTCGGAAACTCAGTCTACAATGTTTAGTAGTAGAGATTGCAGCTCTCTCCCTCTATTTCAGCTAGTTTAGTCTACATTCGAGGACGAATGTTCCCAGGAGGGGATAATGTAACACCCCTTATTTAGAACAAATCAGAAATCATCTTTTCAGAAATTTGCAGCAAAAATAGACGTTTACCATCGACGGACCGTAGCCTGACCCACGGCTTGTACTGCACATCCATCGTTTCTGACTGAAACTCTCCCATAACGCAACCCAGAAAATTTGACTAAGTGTCGAACGTGGGAAGGACCTACGGTCTGTAGGCCAGATTACGGTTTGTAGTTTGTGTCCATCGATAAAGGTACCATTTACCAACTCTCTGATAAGAACCACGATTGACCAGTACGGTCCATAGATGGATATACGAACCACAAGTATGACCTTAGGTGGAAACTTGCAGATAGTTTGGCGGAAAATACATTTGTGTCAACTTCAACTGATCATAACTCTTAGCAAAAACTGAATTAGATGTCCCATGACCTATGAAATGATAGATAATTGAACTGACTCTCCATAGCAACCAAGTTTGCTAAAATCAGACCTCCGAGTAAAATGTTATGCCCGTTCTAGTAAAGTCCTATCGAATAGACCCAACTTACTGATCGAAACGATGCACCGTTGATTGAATAACGGTTCGTCAGTCCAGGTCGTCATTTGGTCCGATGCCAATTATGTCAAGGGTCTTTGGTCATTTCCCACTTTGTTTAAACCTTACGATATGTTGTTTTGACCCTAAATCATCATATTTTAATCAGTTTAAGCCTTGAAACATAACTAAAACTTTCCTAAGTCAAATCATTTAATGAAAACTTAGAAAATTAGAAGTAAGAAAAAATAAAAAGGTCAAGAACCCTAGTTCAAGAACGCAGCAAGGTTCCATCATTTTCAGCCCCGAAATCTAAATATTTCTCCATGAATTTTAGAACCTGAGATTTCATTAGTGGGTTCCTTTCACCCATTGGGTCCTTAGTTTCCAATCAGATTCTTGATTCACATATCATGATTAGACCTAGGGTTTATAGAACTTCAACATAAGTTCATGAATAAATTAGTATATGTTCCAAAACAGATTTCCATGTTATTATTCAGTTTATTGCATGAATTTCAGAACCCTAGCTATGTATTTATTTAGTTCTTGAATTATACATGTTAGGTTTGATAATTTTGTTACTCCAAATATACATGTCTCAGTTATAAATGCATAGATTAATTGTTGCATTCTCAGTTTGCATGTTAAGCTTTGAGCTATCCATTATTTACAGAAACTCAGTCATAATCAGTTGATTGCAGGTGGACCATATTACTATTTTTGTTGTTACGGTCGGAGGAGTCGGTAGTTGTGATGGTGGTGGAGAACATATTACGGCGAGAAACGGCTCTTTGACGCTTATGAGGATCCTGGTGTCCTCCATAATTCATTAGGAGTAGCATAATACAAAGTTGGACTAGGATTCTGCGAACCCGATTAGGTCTAGAACTACTATTCAAGTAGGTTGTAAGTCCTCTCTGTAGGCAATCAATTTAGTGATCACGCAACTATGCTTTTATACCTCTGGCAGGGTATATTGGGTCTTCTCGATGGAGCGTATCCATCAGAATCTACATTTAGCTCACGTGAATTTATTATCGGTTATTAGTAGCTCC